ATGACAGACACATCTGGGAGGGCCAGGCTGGAAAGTGAGGCTGGAGCATGGCACAGATTTGATGGGTAAGGTACTAGGGCATTCAGCTGCAGCAGAGCAGTGACCAGTTGTGGCCTGCTTTAGTCATTTGAAATGTTAGGAGGGTTGAGTCACCAGCATATGGCCTTGTCTGATACTGCACTGATTCCTCTGACTCGCTTTTATGTGATTTACATAGTAATCACTGACCCTCTCATGACTTATTCTTAAGACCCCTTCCTACTGAGACATAAGGAAGGGTGCATCTACACTGCACCATATCTCAAAAAAAGATACGCAATTTGAGCTATGCAAATTGTGTATCTTTTTTCAATGCTATTTCGAAATAGCTTATTTTGTAATTTGGCGCTGTCTATACAGTGCCAAATTTCAAAATGAAGCACTATTCCAAAATGTCCCTTACTCCTCATAGAATGAGGTTTACAGGGACATTGGAATAGCAAGCCCGAAATAACAGGCTTGCTGTGAAGACACGGGATAGCTATTTTGGGATACTCTGGTATCCTGAAATAGCGTTGCAGTGTAGACAAAGCCAGGGAATCCCCACAAAGCTGTGTTTCATGACAGTTGGAGCTCATCCCCCTTGTATGGGCTTCCTTTGTTCCGCCTCCAATGACCTGCATATAGCAGAATCATACTGATTAAACTACCTGGACATTTGGATGTGATTTAGATCTGACACTGAAGTAGTGTCAATATTCACTTAGTCTAGTGGATTTGTAATCCTTTGTGAATTATAAACCTTTTCAGTATTGCTGAAATACCCACTTGTATCTGCTACAAGGCTGCATTTCCACTTCTAGCCTAACTCTACAATTTATGAACTGTTTTGGAATCCTGAGGCTTGTAAGTAGCTATACAAATATAAATTTATGAGTATGCCAAACAATGGCTTCCCCTTGCACCTTCCAGGTCAAATTTATCCATCATGTCTTTGCTTCCAATCTTGCTTCCACCTATAATAACTCTCTATGTTCCATTCTACCCTCACCTGCTTCACCCCCAGCCTAAAGGCACACATTAATCTGCTTTATGTCATTATTCACTCTTATTTTTGAGGTTGTTACTTCACCTCTAATGCCTCCACCAATTGTTCCTCTCTAAAACATCCTTTACCCAAGAGGCCTATCAAACCCCCATCCAGATCTTACAACGTGTTCACAGAAAAGAACAGGAAATGTCTCTGAAAAGGAATTGGAGACCACACTGCTTTTTCCCTTTCTGCATTTTTAGGGTGTGTGTGTGTGTATGTGTGAGATCCATGGGAGTGGCACCAAAACAAGGACTGAAAAACTGAGTAAGGAATTCCAAATTTGGTCCACAACTTGTCAATATTAATAAATATTTTAAAGCAAGACGAATGAAAGGAAATGGTCATATTATGTTCCAGACTACTATTGACTATGGACTGGTTATATACTATATTGTATACATTAAATAAACTTCATCTCCGCACCGTCAGAGACCTTTCTTTCTACCAATTTCCCCAGCAGATGTGAAAAAGCCTAGGTAGCTTTTGATTACTGATGTATGGCTTGGAGTGAACACTGTTTATGGAAGTGCATGCTATCATCTTATATATTATCTTAGGTGCTTCTGAAAATGCATAAGCTTATGGAAATAAAAATGTTTGCATAATTGCCAGCACTTGGTATCTTCCATGTTTCTACAGTGATGCACTGATTTCAAGGAACTGTAGTTTCAGAGCTGGTCTAACTGACAGTACTCAAGGAATAATATCTCTAGCTGTCTGAAACATCTTGCTTCATTTTTAGGTCAAAGGACTCCTCTCCCCTCCCCCCCTCCCCCCCCCCCCCCTGCCATAAGTAACAAATGCATTGCCACCAGTCAGTATCAGTGCGTAACGTTCAAGTGCATTACAGGGGGAGTGAAGTCCTAAAACAAATGAATGTGAGCAGGACAACAAGGAGACAGCTTTATCATTCAATTTGAAAAATATGAAAGGGAAGGATGAACTTTTTTGAGAGTTATATATTTAGAAGGTGAAGTAACTAGTCTGGATGTGTCTCTGCCTTTTTACTTAATGGAATAAGAGTTTCTTATCTGTGTGTTACAAGCTCCATGCTGCTGACTGCTGAAGGAGATTCTCCTTTATTCAAGTGATTGAACTCTGTGCTTTTAGAACAGTACAATCTAAGTTCTATCTTTATTCTTGTCATGAAGTTCCAAGTGTGTGTTGTGATAGCATTGCAACAATTGCTTCTTAGAAGGCTAGGGATATGTAATAGTATTTACATTACCTAGTAAGTCTGACTCTGCCTTAAGAAATTAGAGGTGGACAGAAGACACAATTTGTTTCATACCTTAATTTTAACACCCTAAAATTTGGGAACTTTTTGAATTGGATCTTTTGATTTGACTACTTTTGAGTACATGGAACATTTGCAAAATATGGATTTAAATATTGGTTTGCATTTAACCCCCTCTCCCAAAAATTTGTGTTCAGATCTAAGGATTTGGTTCTTAGATAAACATATTCAAAATAAATAATATTTTAATTGTAAAAGAAAACATTTGGGATAAATCTAATACTCTTTAAGCTGAGAAAACTCCCAGAATAATAAGCTGGCACCAACAGAATATTGTTTTAGTAATGAGTAAAGGCAGCAGAATTTAATTCATTATGAATATTTTGTAAGAGTAAGAAAACGGTAATATTTTGTGAGAGCAAGAAAACGGTAATATTTTGGATTTTGTTAATTTTTTTCTGATATTGTAAAACTTTTTCCCCTTATCTTAAGCTGCTATTTTTCAATGAAAATCAAATTTCAAACTATGTATTTCTAACTAAGCTAAAACAATGCAAAGAAAACACATTATTTTAAAAATAATTCTTGTCCCATCTCTATTTTGTACCTTGCAAATGCACAAAAAAATACACAGGAACATAGAACTTAGGCTTCCCCAAAGGCAAATGGACTCTCAAGAGTTCTGAGTTATATTTTTAAATACAGGTGAATTTGACAATTGGCAAAACAAGATCTCCATTTCCTTATAGATCCCTACCTAGGTTTTGAACTATAATTTACCAAATGGTCGATGATGTAGATGAGGCAAGGTGAGTGAAGAAATACCTTGTATTGGACAAGCTTTTGATCTTTCACACAGCTCTTCTTCAGACCTGGCCTGTGTAAGCTCAAAAGCTGGTTTCTCTCACCAATAGAAGTTGATCCAATATAAGATATTACCTCCCCACTTTGTATCTTTAATATCGTGGGACCAACACAGCTACAGCCACATGGCATTCAATGATTTAGCTGGTCAACTGGAGTATAAAATAGCACACATTTATGAAGCAAAAAGGACTAATGGAAGGCTGAAGAAATTATTCCTATTTTCATTTTACAGTTTAGAAACTGGCTTTGTGAATTAAGTGGAAAATTGCAGCAATCTGAAAATCTTGATAAGAATTCCACTGGCCTTTAATACATGCAAATATTTAAAATGATCTAGAAGGTAAAGAAGATGAAGTCTATGCAGAAAAAATCCACTTGGCTGTCTACTGATCTCATACATTAAACATGATTACAATGAAAGCTGACCATAGTGTATTTTTTCATTGTTCTATACTTGTAAAGTATCCTCTCTTTAAAAGATTACCTTTTAGAATTTAATTGCTTCTAGGCAAGAGTAGCAGTGTAGAACTATTCATGCATCCAAATGTCCTGTCTTGTTCAAAATGTAACTTGAATGATTACAGTATGTCTACCAGATTTTTTCCCATGGATTGAATTGTTTGGCATCTGCAAAATTGCCTGTCAGTGCATCTTTAGCAAATTCTCTACGTCTAAGAAAGCAGAATTTTTAAAATGCTAGATAGCCTTATAATGAGTCACATATTAACCCGTGGATCTAGAATATCAAATTTTGGAAAGGGTGATAATGTTTTCTAACATCGGTTAAAGAATATTATAGATGGAAATTATTTGCCCTTGCAAGTTAGCGAAGCTATCTGAGAACCATCATCATACATGCTTTTTAGTCTGGCACCTAACAATGCTCACTAACAATATTGTTTGTACGACTGACCACTTCCCAGGATCACAGCTAACATGTTCAAAGTCATTACACCAATAGAGTCAATGCTAACTTTCTGTTTACTGATCCACCAGTTTAATTTTTATTCCTTCAAAGAAGCCACAGTCTATTAGTAGTAATGAACTGGCTTTGCAAACACTTCCCAAATAGTCTTATTGAACAACACTAAGATATGAGTAAGCTCTCTGCTTCATTTGCTTTTCTTAGTCCATTCTTCACATTAGATGTATTGGCCTTCTAGGCCTCTTAGGACTAATAATTGAAAACATCATCCCTACATAGGAGCAATTGTCACCGCAGGAAATGTTAATGAAAAAGGAAATGTCAAGAAACTGAAGGCTTTCCAGTAGCCAGCAAGCCTATGGGAAATGTAGTCTCTGCTCAAGAAAATATTTCAATTTTTAGTGAACAAGAAATGACCGCTTGTAAATGGCAGTTTCTGGTAGACAGGCAGGGTTTGTAAACACTTTCCTATATAAAAAGCAGGCCAGAAGTGCCATACAACATTTCATAGAATCATAGAATCATAGAATAATAGGACTGGAAGGGACCTCGAGAGGTCATCGAGTCCAGCCCCCCGCCCTCAAGGCAGGATCAAGCTCTGTCTACACCATCCCTGACAGATGTCTATCTAACCTGTTCTTAAATATCTCCAGAGAGGGAGATTCCACCACCTCCCTTGGCAATTTATTCCAATATTTGACCACCCTGACAGTTAGGAATTTTTTCCTAATGTCCAATCTAAACCTCCCCTGCTGCACTTTAAGCCCATTTGATCAGGTCCAGTTACATGTACAGTAACGGCTAATGCCAATTGTTCAATATTAATGCTGACAAGGAATTTGGGGAGGTTAAAATAATTTAATTGTGTTCCTGAGCAGTACAGTAGTTTAACTTCTTACCCGTCTGGTCAGGAGAAGGGTCGAATTTAATTCCTGGAGTGCTGCCTGTGTTTTTATAAGCTGTTGGTTGTCTCCTATTGGAATATTCCATGTTACTGCCTTCTGATTGTTGCTGATCAGACTCACCAAAGCTGTGAACCAAGAGGGGCTTGTTTTGCAGCCCTTCTACATAATTGTCTATGTAGAGGAGCTTTTGACTCTCCCCTCCAAAATGAAGTAAAAAAGATTCAAAGGATCTGCCATGTTTGTTGTCTGCTTTTTCATTGGGTTTTGGCACATGTGTATGGGAAGAAGTTCTACTGGGCTTGGCAGTGTATTTGGCCCTGTTACCAAGCAAAGGAGTGTTTCTGAGTAGGTTTTTCAGCTCTTGCCATGTTTGTTTTGAAACTCCAGACCCCAGCATGAAAGATTCTTCAGTGCTTTTTTCCTGGGTTGCTAACGTATTACCTTTATTCTCTTTCTCTGTTGCATCTTCATCTTCTGTTCCCCTACATTTATCCTCATTGCTTGCTGTCTCTGTCACCCCAGATTTATCTTCTCTGCTTGCTGTATCTGAACTCCCAGATTTTCCTCCTTTGCTTTCAGGCTCCATTCCCAAAGGCTGATTCCCATTGCTTGATGTCTGTATTTCCTCAGGCTTCTCCACCTTTCTTTCTACCACTCTTCTGCCTTCATCATTCTTGTGGACTCCTTCTGTTTTCTTTAATATGTCCTCTTTCATGTTGACTTCCCTAGGGAAGCTCCCATTTCCCTCACCCATTGGACCTTGCATATTAGGGAAATTAGATGATTTTTGAAGGGATGGATTTGCAGGTGGTTCTATCTGACCAGTTGCTCTTTGCAGGTAAGAATGTTCAGAGGTTTTTGTCTGATTGGAGATCTCCATTTTCTCACATTCTAGTGGGAGATGGTGTTTTGCAGTGACTTTGACTCCTCTTGTTCTTCTTAAACCACATATACTGCTGCCATCAGCTTCATCATTGTCATTTCCAACTGTGTTCTGTAATCATCAACAAAATATACAGCCAAATAATACACATGAATGAAATAAAGCTCGAGTAACACAAGACAGGGAGTAGCTTCAACAACTGTATTTTATTATCATAAGGGAATTCTATTGTTTCTTGCTGAAAAAGAGTTCTGTGTGGGAAATGGCTTACCAAATCATTTGGCTGCACTGATGTTATCCTCTTGAAGGATTCTCATTTTGGGGTTTTAGTTCCTTTTAGAGCAAGACTGGTTCAGGTCCCTATTCTTCAGGTATTTTGACTATCGAGGCAGGTTTAAAAGGGTTCACCACAACCTAGATTCCCTGCTGCCTAGTGTGTGCAACCCCTTGCAAAGTATAGCTGCTTTTTAAATATGAGAAAAATGTTTTTTTAATACAGCCAAATGCTAAATGAATACACCCAGGAACAATAAATGTAGACCATAAGTACAGAATTGGAAACTGTATCTGGGAAAGAAGTGAATGTGCAAAGGATTTAGGAGTCAAACTGCACAACCAACAGAACATGAGAACCCGATTTGATGCTGTGGCAAACGGAGTTAAAGTGATCCTGTAGGAGTAGATAGGTGATTTTATCTGTGTAGTTTTGATGGTGAGATCAACTTTGGAATACTGGGTACAGTTCTGTTGTCCCCATTTTAAAAAGGATGTGGAAAACTGAAATGTGTTCAGGAAAGCGCCCCCAAAATTATTTGAGGGTTGGAAAAAATACCTTACAGTGACAGATTGAAAGAACTGTTCAGTTTACTGAAAGGAATATTGAAAGGTGACTAGATTAGTGTGTAAATATCTTCAGAGGGAGAAAATACCAGGTATTAAAAGGCTCTTTAATCTAGCTGAAAAAGGCATAACAAGAACCAGTAGCTCAAAGCAAATTCAAACTGGAAATAAGGCATACATTTTTAAGGGTTTAACCACTGGTACAAACTACCACTGCAGGTGACCTATCTCTTGATGTCTTCAAATCAGGATTTTTGAGGGGATATGCTTTAGCCAAATACAGGTTGGCTACGTCTACATTGGCCCCTTTTCCGAAAGGGGCATGCTAATTTTCCAGGTCGTAATAGGGAAATCCGCGGGGGATTTAAATATCCCCCGTGGCATTTAAATAAAAATGTCCGCCGCTTTTGAGGGTTGGAAAAAATACCTTCAAAGTAGGAATAAGAGATCCTCCGGAAAAGGGCTTTTTCCGGAGGATCGGGGCCAGTGTAGACACTCTTTTCCGGCTTTTCTACAAGCCAGAAAAAAGCGGCGGACATTTTTATTTAAATGCCACGGGGGATATTTAAATCCCCCGCGGATTTCCCTATTACGACCTGGAAAATTAGCATGCCCCTTTTGGAAAAGGGGCCAGTGTATGTTACTGGGCTCAATCTAGAGCTAATTATGGGTATGTCTACACTAGGAAATTATTTCAAAATAACTTATTTTGAAATAATAACTCCTGAAATAACTATTTCGAAATAGCAAGTCCACACTACGAAGAAGCCTCAGAATAAGTCTGAGGCAGACTCCCATAATGAGGATGCCTTGACTTAGAGCCCCAGGAAGCACTGGGGAATAATTACTTTGAATGAATCCGGGGAATAGTTATTTTGAAACAAATGTTATTCCTCTTGGAAAGCAGGAATTATTATTTCAAAATAATAAGCCCATTACTGTATTTTGAAAGAATGGGCTTGGTAGTGTAGATGCTCCACTTGTTATTTTGAAATAAGGGGAGTTATTTCAAATAACTCAGGGTATGTCTACACTACCCTCCTAGTTCAAACTAGGAGGGTAATGTAGGCATACCGCACTTGCAAATGAAGCCCAGGATTTGAATTTCCCGGGCTTCATTTGCATAAGCGGGGCACCGCCATTTTTAAAACCCCGCTGGTTCATTTCACGAGGAGTAACGGTAGTTTGAACTAGGAAGCCTAGTTCGAACTACCTAGTTCGTGCCCCGTGTAGATGCAGGGAGTTTTAAAATACACCAGGGCTATGCAATATTTACCTGTGACATATAGGAGGTCAGACCAAATGAACTAATAGTCCCATCTCACCTTAAAGTCTATGAAATTTATGTTCTATTCAGTTTCTCCTACTTAGCAAGGATAAAGCATCCAGAATGAGACACAAATTTGAAATTATCAAAAATGTACCTCAGGGAAAGATCCAAAAAACGTGTGAGAGAAAAGCCTCATGAAAAATAACCTTATCAACAGGAGGAGTGAGAATCCTACAAGATGAAATTTTCAAAGAAAGAGAATTACAAGGTACATAATTTCCCTTTCTCTAAAGATGCCTTCTGGAGAACAAGTAGTTTTAGGGCTGTCAGAGCAGAAAATGAGGATAAAGCCACAACATGCAGCAACAAAAAGTTAAATGCCAACAGTTTGCAAGTAGCTTGCTTTTTAAAAATTACATTAATATATACAGGATTTTACACATGCAACACCATACATGACATTCAAGTCTGCAGAAATACATAGCATTCAGTGGGAAAAAAAAAGGTAGCTTATCCCAAAATAAAACTATACTATTATTACATAAACAACAACAAATATGACAATATAGCACCTTTTGCTTTAAATGTATATATTGAACTGAATGATTAAGCCAAACTTCCCTGGCATGCTTAAATCAACCTTAAATGTATATATAAAAAGCTAATAGAAAAAAATTAAATGTTCTGAGTTTGAGCTTATTGATATGCTGAAGACACTTGGGTCTAAGTCTTCAAACTCACCAAATTTATATTCTGCACTTCCATTTTTTTTCTGGACAGAAGCAAATTGGATGCTAAACTAGAGAAGACAAGATGTTTATTGGCAGATGGAAACATTTAGAATAATAGAAATTGTTGTGTGTAGCACATATTAGCAGTAGCATTTGCCCATCCTCTGCCAAGATGATTAATGGCTTCCTTTTATCAAGGATCCCTGACTACTCTTTGATTAGCAGCGATGGCTCATTTTAGCTTTGTCCAGCTCTGTCTGGCCAAGATGATGTGATTTGTCCTCTGCTAAAACAGACCTCACAATAGTCTTTCAAACCTCTCTCATCCTCACTTTAGACTATTGTCTTGTGCTCTATTTAATAAAACCTTTAAATGCAACCCAAAATGGATGTGACTACAGTATTCAGCTGTCTGCCAACATTCTAAGGAATATAAGCCAAGAAGCACATAACACCTGTGGTCAGGTCTTTATACCAGTTTCCTTATAACATCCAGGTGCAATTAAAAGTGGTTAGTGGGAGCATTTGGCACAAAAGATTTACTTTCCTTATTTTATATTTAACATATATATTTACTTCCATTTATACATGAATCTGTTAAAAAAACTGCTATATTTGTTGTTGACATGCAAATACAATGTTCTGTGTTATCCTTATCTTTCTGCTCAGCCTAACCCTCCTCGCCAATAATAAACAGATCCAGTTCCTAGAATTGTGCCAACGTTGCAGCTGCTGATGGAAACACTAATGCAGACTGAAAAGCCAAATACATTTAATGTTTCCCATTAACAATAGAGATTCACTAGGGGAGAAGAGGGACTAATGTTTGTCAGATAGGATAAGGCACAAAATCACTGGGGGAAAAAAAGGTTTTTTCCAACTTTCTAAGGGGGTTCTACAGATTGAAATGTTTTCTTTGGAACAAAAAAGAGCTCAAGCTAGGAAATCATCTAGAAATGACAATATTTCTAAAGAATTTACTGTAACGTTAAACTCTTTTTTCCTTGGTACAGCCTGGCATTATAAAAATATTGTCTTCCCTAAGTGCTTTCTTTTTTAAAAATCAGTCTTTACACATGCCTTCATTTTCTGAAATAATTTGAAGCCATTATCTTATTCTTAACAACATCTGCATTTGTTCTCATTTATGCTTCCTATTGCATTCCTATGCTGGTCAAGGCTGTCCATTTCAAAAACACTTTAATCTACTCTTTGATATGTAAGGTGATGTGGAACTCAGTGTTATCATAATGTCCACAGTGCTGATCTCTGAAAAGTATATACACAGAATATAACCATTGTGGTCATGCTAACAGCAACCAGGAAATCTGACCATAAACTTTCAGTTCTTAACCAAGAGTTTGGACCATATATTTTCTGTTCTTATGACAACCACATTTATGATCACTAGACAGAACAGAATCACTTCAGATAAATAGACAGTATGAGAAAACCATCCATCCACATAGTAATGCCACTCTAAACATTTTCATCAACCGAGTTATAATCCATACTGCAATAAATAACCTCTTCCAATTAACAGACACAAGGGAAACTGCTGGCTACATATATATCTACTAACGGTCCCAGTGCAAACACTCTAAGGCTGTGTCCAGACTCAGGGGTTTTTTCGAAAAAAGTAGCCTTTTTTCGAAAAAACTTCACCTGCATCTAGACTACAGCCACGTTCTTTCGAAATTAAATCGAAAAAACGCGGCTTTTCTTTTGACGGCGGTAAACCTCATTTCACGAGGAAGAACGCCTTTTTTCAAAAGCCTTTTTGAAAAAAGGCGTTCTTGAATGCCAACAGGACTTTTTAGAAAGAGAGCATCCAGACTCACTCACTGCTTTCTTTCGAAAAAGCGGCTTGCTTTTTTGAAAGTTCCACTTGCAGTCTAGACGCTCTTTTTCGAAAGAGGCTTTTTCGAAAGTATCTTTCGAAAAAGCCTCTTTCGAAAGAGGCTTGCAGTCTAGACATAGCCTAATAGATCTCAGGCACTGTGTCAAGATTTTTTTTCCTGAAAAGAAACTAGGAAGTTGGAACAAATATTTGTATTTTCCTCCGGCTTTCTGTTTGCTTCCTGATCTGCTGTAAGTCTGTTCAAGCATAGGATTTCTAAATGCCATCAAAATGCTTTGGCAAATTAGATAGATAGACACAGACAGACAGACAGACAGACAGACAGGAAGGAGCTTCTATCTATCTGTCTGCCTGTCTGCTGTCTGTCTAATGTGGCATTTGAGAGGAAGGTGAGGGAAAATAAAGTAACTTAAGAAGTAGCAATTATGGTGAAACAATTGCAAAAAGCATCCAGTATCATGGTAAAGGGAAACAGAAACAATGGTGTCACTCTAGCAGGTACTAGCACACATCTAATTAAGATGAGGTAATCTAATTCACCCTCTGTTGGACTATCAACAATAACAACAAAAAATGCAAACTTACTACTAGTATACACATGGTCAAAAGTGAATTTGACTAACTCTGGTCTGTCTCATTTGCTTGTTCCCCCTTTCTTTCATATAATGAAATTGTTTCAGTTGTTAACTTATTTAAGACTTAAAAACCATAGTTTTTATTAGGCCTGGGTAGAGAATGAAAGTTATGTTGCATGATGGAAATGTTTTGAAATTTTCTTCATTCTGAAGTGGAATGAAAACTGAACTGTTCAATATTCTCTGCAAAGGACACATCTGAAAAAAAACCCTTTTGTTTTGGACCAATCAAAACATTGCTTTTCAACAAAATCAAAATATTTGATCTTTAGCTTGCATTATTATAATAAAAATGTAAAAAATTGAAATAAAGTTGTTTCAAAATGTAAAAATTTAAGTTCTCCAGCCTGGGAATGTTGAAATGGGATGTTTCAGCTATTTCCACCCCCTTTGTTTGCTATAAGGGAGGTATCACAAGCTTCTACCAGATTTTCTCTCTTTGCACTGTTACATGGGCATAGTCTTAACAAAGACTAGTTCTGGAAGATTTGAGAAGAGCAGGGCCCAAAGGTGATCAATAACATTGTGTTATGCAACTCAAAGAGGGTTTCAGGAAGTGGGGGGGGGGGTTGCCCATGTAAACCTATTGGGGGACTAGTAGGTGAAACAATAAACACACAAGCAGGGTTCACACCTATTGACCTTCTAACCTGAGGACCAGACACTATTTTATTGCTTCTGAGAATGAAATCTAAGTTGTTAGCTGGGTAACAAGAACCTTTTCAAGTTGTTTGTTGATCATCCTTGTGGACTACAAGGTCCATTTGTCAAAGAGGCAAACAGAGATTAGGCTCCACTATGTGAATCTACATAAGCACAGAAAACTACAGGTATATCAGTACTTTAGATTTTACAAAAGGATTTTTGCAGATCCTTGTCTTACCTACACTGCAAGAAAAAATAGCCTTCTGAATACCCTTCATGCTCTTACAGGTCAGGAGAATTCCATTCAGCTTATATGATAAACCTGCAATATTTCAATAATTACCAGAGCAGGTGATCAGGCTGGAATGAGCCTGAGCAACAAATATGAGCTGTTCTCCAACCATTGGCGGAAGCAGATCCATGGACAATCCAGCCTAATGCAAGCTGTGTTATAACATGGGAGGAGGACCCATTTAGTACTCTAGTTAACCATGTGCAGCCATTGGTGGCTTGTCCTTTTCCTTCTACAAAGAATAAGGGAAGACGAATCATTAAGCCAGATGACTAGTACAGGCAATTTGTTCCTGGTTTTACAACCATCATGGTCCCTCTGATGGACTTTTACGAAGAAGATTCACTGATTAACAATTGTGAAAAGGCCCTTGAAAAATGGGTCATGCAAGGGACTATTCTTCAATATGTATTTCTCAAGAATTCGCTTTGCAGACAAACAGGCTGTGTCTACATTGGCATCCCTTTCCGGAAAAGGGATGCTAATGAGACACATCGCAATTGCAAATCTGCGGGGGATTTAAATATCCCCCGCGGCATTTGCATTTACATGGCGGCCGCTTTTTTCCGGCTTGGGGATAAGCCGGAGAAAAGCGCCAGTCTAGACATGATTCTCCGGAAAATAAGCCCTTTTCCGGAGGATTTCTTATTCCTACTTGAAAGTAGGGGTACTTGAGAAAAGTCTGAGGGGTACGTCAACACAAATGAAATTTGAAGAAAATTGAATTTATGTTTTAAGTTTTACAGCGCTTTATTATTTTTGTACTTTTTACACCCAAAAATGTCATCACCCACCTGGCTACAATTAAGTTGTTTAAACAAATGTGTTGCAATGGTAGAAAAAAAATTGTGTGTCTGAAAACTGTAGGTGCTGGGGGTGCTTATAATTTTTTTAAAGGGGTACTTTATAACAAAAAAGGCTGAGAAACACTTCTCTGGGGTACAACATCATGCCAAAGCAAAACACACATTCTTTCACAGGAATTAGGGGAACTGGGAATTGATCGAGGATCCTGAGTTCTGTTGTGAGGGGTACAATATGTGTTTCCCATCCCAGACAGAAATGAGCATCTGGACTATCTTGAGAGGTATAAAGATCAATTTGATTTTGCTTTGCTTTTCATTAGAGCCCAGGTTCTCAGCCTGGACCTCTCAGCTACTCAAGGGCATGCGGGCAGGTTAGAAACCCAGCCCCCTCTTCAGAAACTATTTACCGTTTTATTTTCCAAGGAACAGTGGGATGAGCTCAGATTGTTTTATGTGTTTTGCAGGATTATTTTTGTTTTCCTGTCCCTTTATTTCAGTCTGCAATCACACCTACAAGGAGAGAACCACATCCCTGAGACGTGAAGCTGAGAGGCAGCACCCTGCACGTCAAAACAGTACTACAGTACCCTGCAAAAGGGGGACGTGAGGGCTGAGAGAGGTGCCACCCTTATCCCAAGGGGGTGCATCGGTATTAGCTGTGACACCAGATCTATTAATGTACTTCCTGTGAAAAAAGCATGGCAATTAGTTTAATTCACATCTTCATTCTATTTTCACATACCTCATTTGTTGCCATAGTCTTACTCCCACACTAAAGCTTTGCATTAAACATGCAGTTATTGGATTAGCTTCTGAAGGCCATTGATTCTGAAACTGCCCCCTGTAACTGTGAGGTTCGTATTTGTAATAGCTGCTTTGACATCAGTGATGTCACTCTGGATTTATATCAGTGTAAATGGAATCAGAAATTAGCCTGCTGTTTCAGGAGCTTCTGATAAAGAATGGAATATGTAGGATGCTTCCACAAACAGATCTAATTTCCAATAGCACGTTTTGCAGGGTTTATTGCATGGTACAAGATATTTTATTGTCTCTTCCTGTGGCTTCCTGACCTGCTGTTAATTCAGAGCACAACATGTTCCCTGTGTATAGATCAAAAGCTTTGAACTAAAAGTCTGATAAGATGTTGCTCCACTCACAGCTCTTGAAAGCTGGAAATAAGAAAGTATTATGTATCAACAGATCTGTGTGGAAACCTTTCACAATCAATGTCTTACCTGATGAGCGTGATCTTCCTCCTTGTCCATCTCCAGAACATTCTGTTTCAAGTCCCTATCAGAAATGGTAACAGCCTTGTAATAAAATTGCACCCAGTATTTATAGGTACATCTACAATAAAGGTCAGTTAGAATGGGATTTCTATGAGTTTCTTTTCCCAGAAATCCATAGCAGATGATGAACCATTAAAAGCAAACCCGCATGTGTCATGTTCAAGAGTACAGTTTGCTGGAATAGTGTCAAAGTAGTAAACTGACGAGTGCACATTTCTAGTTGACTGCCTGAAAACAAAAGAGAACTGAGCTTAAAACTGTTTTGCTCAACTTTTTTCCTCACAAAAGGTTTTTGTTGTGCATTGAACTATTTTATTCTGGAACAGAATCCATTGTTAGGCTCCTTAGAAATAAAACCTTTACTGGACATTGTAACAGCAATATGTTGTTGGGGCACAAAGACAGGAATTTGAAAGGAAAAGCTCATTGCAAGAACAGAGTGTAACTGTAGGGTATTTAATGGCAGCCCTTGTTTATGGGGATCATGAGCTCTGCCCTGTGTGCATGTGTTTACACCTTCAAGTACTACCATAAAGTGCTTACCTAGCCCTATTAAGCTTGTGAGATGTGGTGGAATTCACAGCTCAGAGCCCAATTCATTTTTTAAGGAAAAGTGAAACCCATATGTAGTCAAATGATAGAGCTGCACTGCTTTCTAGTGCCAACATTAGGCAAAATCTGCCCCTCTATGATTTGGCTGCAGGCTTAGCCAAAGTCTCTAGCTGTTCTTTTTTCATGTCCTTTTTGCTGCATGAATTCTATAACCAAATAATTATTCATCCAGTCTCTTTTGCCAAGCTTTTATTAGGAGAAGCATTTATTTTCTCCTAGAATGTTTCTTGCTATGTGAGTATTACTTTCCAGATTAGATTTATAGGAGGTGCCTACTGTGAAATAGAAGAAATGTAGAAGACATTTTCAAAGATTGTCTTTTGCATTGTGCATTTATTTTATTACCAGGTGATATAAATCTCTAGTTTATGGGATTCTTCCCCTAACTTTTATAGTAACATTTTAATGCACCACAGTTTTCCAACAGTCCAACAAGAGAGAAACAGCCTTGCCATAAAATATTGTAGGAATTCTTTCCATTCTAGATCCAGATATGTAAACCTTTATTTTAGTTCATGATACCACTTTTTCAGGCAGAAAACATTACTACCATATTTTTAATACACATAGATGATCTGCTGTAGATACTTGCCTAACAGCAAAAAGAAACTATTGGGCTATGTCTACACTCGTGGCTTCTTGTGCTAGAAATATGCAAATGAGGCTAAGCATGGAATATCGCCACGCCTCATTTGCATACCTAATGAGCCACCATTTTCCCAGAAGAGGCTCTTGCATCAGAAGGAGCTGTCTACACTACCCCTTCTTGCACTATAAAACCCCTCTTGCACAATGCCATTATGCTTATTATTTTCAGGAATAACAGCATTTCGCAAGAGGGCTTTTATAGTGCAAGAAGGGGTAGTGTAGACAGCTCCTTCTGATGCAAGAGCCTCTTCTGGGAAAATGGTGGCTCATTAGGTATGCAAATGAGGCATGGCGATATTCCATGCTTAGCCTCATTTGCATATTTCTGGCACAAGAAGCCGCGAGTGTAGACATAGCCCAGGTGTTTGTTTCTTTCTTTAAGTTTTTACATGTGCTCAGGACCATAAAAGAACAAATGCATGTGTCCCTGCCCCATTCCATTTACAAAAAATCCAGTCCTGCAAACATGATCACTGCTTTCTAGTGCCATAATTTCAACTGCATCAGAGGGATTGACTATTGTCTTACGTACAACAGCCTCTCCCATGAATACTATTTGTTTTCCTGTTCAGATAGCTGGATAAGGGGAAAGAAGAGAAGGGTAATGTTCTTAGTTGATGTGTACTGATATCAGTAGAACTAGGCTGATTACACTAGCTGAGAGTCTGGCTCAGATATTGAAGCAAAGGCCTCTGATCTGGACCATGATAAATATATTACATGCTATTCATTAATTTCCTTGCATATGTCTAGGCAACTATTCTGGGGGCCTAGGGCTACTAGATTTTGTGGGGCTCCATAGGCTCCAGGGTGGGTAAAAAATGAGAGGTACAGTGTGCAGGTGGGAACTGCTGGGGAGTGGAGTGGAAGTGCAGGTTTTGAGCAGGATGTAAAGTGCACAAGTGGGCTATAGGTTGTGAGGTGGGGTCTGGATAGGGTGCAGGAATGGGGTGGGAGTTGGAGTCTGGGAGGGGCAGGGGACTGGGGCACTTACCTGGCACCACTCCCAGGGAAGAACAGATAGTTCCATGCAGGCTTACACTTGAAGGCACTGCTCCCCCACCACTCCCACTGGCGGCAAGAAGGGTGGAGCCTACAGCTGAGCACCACTAACATAGATGCATGGGGCTCCAGCCCAGGGGAGAAGAGGGGAAACAGCAGTGCTCAAAGCTTCTCCCCCTCCCTCCCTCCATGCCAGGCAGAGCCACAGCACACAAAGGATATAGTGGCTGCATCCAGGACTCTGGGCCAAAGGGGCCTCCCCTTAGTCCAGGGCCCCGGGCTGCAGTCTCTAAAGCAGTGTTTCTTAAACTTAAACTGTGTTCCATGGCACACCAGTGTGCCAGAGAACAACAAAATTCAAAATGGCTGCCCTTAAAGGAGCAGGCGACTTTTTTTCTCAACAACTCCTCTCCCCCACCCCCCAAAAAATTATTGTTTGGTGTTCCAAAGTCTTAAAAAGTTTAAGAAACACTGCTCTAAAGCCCCTTTCATAATGCTGTCTCTGTTACTTACAACATTATGGATAAAGACAAACTGAAAGAATTCCTAACATTTTCCCTTGTTGTTTGCTCACAGTTTGTTCTCCTCTCTCCCCTTCCCACTCCCTGTCACTCAACTCTGACCTAAAATAAGAGACAGTAGACCATTTCTAGGTCTGGCAGTTATGAATCAGGTTAATACAGTATTTGGAAAGTTTCTTTATAAGTAAACAATGAGTCATGGAAATACTTCTGTTGATGTTAATGTCCCTTTTACAGCTTTTTAAATATTTGCTAGAAGTATTAAAAATACTGTTTCAAAACACTAATTACAAAATTACTATTTCAACAGAAATGCCAGTGTTTCTTATATGAAATAAACAAATTAGCTCTGTCTTAATGCTCTTTTCTTTTTTTCTTTCTGATTCTGGGTAGCAGATTGGATTGTTGCTCTTGAAATAAAATTAAGATATCAAATACACTGAAGGAATTAGTCTTATATAGAAAATCATGGGTAAAAAGATCAGATTTTGCTGTTGATTTGAATCCTGTATATAATTCATTTGAGCAAAACAGAAATTTAATAGCTCAAATGATGTATACTGCAAAGCTGGCAGCAGCATTAATTGTTGAATTTGGGTATTAGAGCAATGGACACACTTATTCCAAGTAATCATTAGAAAATTGAATCAGATAACTAACATTAATCAGAAAAGGGCCAATTAATTTTGAAATAATTTGAAGTCCACACTGAAAGGATGAATGGAAAGAATTAATAAAGAAATGGAGTTTGACTTTCCTTCCTTCTTATACAGCAGCCAATCCTTTAAAATAACACTTATAGCACATAACACTGAACAGGATTCTCAAATTACATTTTATAATATTGTATAATGCTTTCGTTTGTGTGTTCTAGCTGACAGCTGTCAAGAAAACAAGAGCTTTAAATAAAATACAATGAAATAGCTGTTGTTCAATTGTAATCAATTTAAGGGAATAGGCAGTCTCTGAAGAGATGCTGCTTTTGCTATTTAACGTTCCCATCTTTAATGTATATATGTGCCTTGACAACAAAGCACTTTTTCAAGGACATCCATATAAATTAATGAAATGAAACAATAGGGAAGAATCAAGCTCACTGGATTTTCTATCCTCCGATATTACAATGGGCACGCTTAAAAATAAATAACTGATTAAAACAAAACTAGACAAGTTCCTGGAGAATAAGTCTTTCAATGGATATTAGCCAGAATGGGCAAAGATTCAACACCATGCTCAAAGGTCTGTAGCCTCCATTTGCCAGAAACTGGGAATGGATGAAAGCGGATGGTTCACTTAATGATTGCCTGTTCAATCATTAGCCACTGCCAGAGGACAGGATATTCCACTAGATTGATGGATTTATTATGGCCTTTCTTTATGTTCTTATTTTCTCAGTGTTTCCTATACTAAGAATGTCCAGCGCAACAAGATAATTATATTGTATTGCAGTGATAGCTAACTCCTAGCCTAGACTCAGGGTTTAATATCTACAGGTGCCAAGGAAAAGGAATTCTTTCCATCGAGCTGTTTCATGGCCTCATTGAAGTGAATGAAGTATCTCTCCACAATCCCAGTGATATTCAGACCATGCAATCTATTCAGAGGCAGGCTGTTTAGCCCCATCCTCAATTCTCCCTTCAGTGCACTGCTCCTGCAGGAAGCCTCATGGAATTAGGTTCTGCACTGGTTCTGTCCTGTGCCTGCCCCCAAATCCCTGTCCCTTTAAGCAGTGTTACCAGCCCAACTTCTGCTGCCAGGGGATCTTCTGAAGCAGCAAATGTGAAGGTTCAATCTCCACTTATGTGTTGACTTTTTTAGCAATGCCTTGTGCACATCCTGTCTTCTGTGTTTCTTTGTTGGGAAGGACAGATTTTACCCTTTGGGTTGGCAGTTAGTGGATGGTGGTGAAATTAAAGCCTGTGCAGAGAACCCTTTGTGTCAGATATGGCAAACTTCTACAATATATTTGAGAAATCTTACTGTATTAAGTTATGTATCATTGTGGGCCAGGTGTCTGATGTAATTATGTGGGGAAGGGTGACCAGCCCTCCTCCAGTTATTAGGAACATGGGGGATGATTAAGCAAATTCACTCAGATTATAACATCTCCAGAGAGTTCCCCCCACCTGGAGAAGTTTGCATACACTGATCTTTGGAGGATCTAGTTTGAACCAACAAAGAAAGGACTTCTGGATAAATTGATTCAGGGTCTTCTTTCCAATCT